AAAAAAAAAAAAAAAGACAGCAGGGAAAGAGAGAAGTGTGTATTTGCAGGGTTCCTTGGATAGATTCCACACACCCCAGGTTGAGAACCACTCTGTGAAAAGTATTGCAACGCAGATGTGGTAAGGTGGCCCAGGCACAATGCAGGGATCAGGACGGTGATGTGCTGAGAAATGTTCAGTAATGGGCCCTCCGCAGATAAAAGCACAGCTATATATTTGTAATATATAAAATACAAATAGAGATATATAAGTATATCTATATATATCCTACAAATAGATATTCCACCTCCCATCCCAGAGATTGAACCCAGGTCCTTTGCACTGAGCTACACTCCAGCCCCTCCCCCTGTTTTAAAGTCAGTGAGTTGCCCACACCAGGCCTGAACTTGCAGTCTTCCTGCCTCAGTCTCCCAGTGTGATGGGATTACCAGTTGCCTATGTGATGTTCCTGGACGTGAATTGGGGAAGAGATGCCCTTGGTTCGCTCTCCAAGGCAGGGCCAGCCTCTCCCACCACCTACTGGTCTAACGAACCTCTGAGAAAGGAGCGGTGCGTGCTTCTACTTAACTCAGCGCTGGCTGAGATTCTGGCATGGATGGGAAGTCCACAACGGATGCTTCATGGAAGCCTTTGGACCAGGCCTGAATTTCTCTGTTGGGCCATCTCCACCTGGCTGCATTGGCAGAATGAGAGAACACTACACTGCTGTTGTTTTAAGCCACTAAGTCTTGGATATTCCCTCACACAGATAACCCAAGTAAGAAGTTTCTCCTATGACTTAGATAATCGTATCTAAATTCTGGGCTGGGGTAACATCAGGATGGTCATCTAATATGTCCCAAGATATATACCTGTTTGCAAGACCACATTATTTTGAGAAAGAGTGATTTATGCTCAAGCACATGCCTATGACATTGCTCACTGGAATAAAAAAAGAACTTCTGTTTTTCTTAACAACTTGTCAAATAACCTTGCAAAACCAAAAACAAATGAGAATCAGGAAGTTTTGACATATGCTTGTGTTCACACACATAAACAAATAAATGAAATTGTATAACGTTAATATATTTCTCCAATTTATCCCAATAATAAATTATGTCCAGGACTATGCATTAGACTATCCGGTCATTTCAGAAGAGTTAGTTGGTATGTATGAAAGACATATGTTTGTAGTACTCAGTAGAAAGACATAATTACAATGTTCAGGTTGCCTAGTTCCCCATCCCTATAATGAGTAAGATATTTAGAGTCCCGAACTGTTTATGTGACATTTAAATAAGTAATGCAGAGATTTGACAACATTTCCATATTCCTCTTTTAAAGTCTGAAGGCCTCTGCCTTAATCCAAGCTCTTTGGCATTTATTACTGTTTGTTACACTAACAAGTAAGATTATGAGAATTCTAATGAAGGCTTCCAGTGAAAAACTCTGTGATTAAAATGCCATAATAACAGTTGCATGCATTTATGTGCCTGATTACCATAATCTATTTAGCACAAGTAAACACACAAACAGAAGGAGAAAAGCAAGCCCACTGACACTTCAGCTAAGGAGAATTTGAAATGCGAGGGAGACAATGTAAATATGTAAATGTCTCTGTGTATTCTTTTCATCTCTCTCCTTTCTCATCCTCGCCTTTTTTTCTCTTTTTCTGTTTGCTAATGAGAAGACTATGCAATCACATGTGGTCCCTGCTCTATCAGGCTGAGGTGCATTTGGGGGGCCATCTGCTGGGGCCAGCATCCTAAACAATGCCACCCAGAAAGCTCTGGATATATTTGCAGCCACCTTTGACATCACGGAATAGAAGAAATGGCATCTCAAAGACTACAGTCTTTGATGTGTTCACTCTGAACACTTAGTTCAGCTGTTACTCCATTAATTCAAAGCCTGGGCGAGCACGGCCGTGCTGTGCCCTGCTCCCGCACCTCCCTTCCCCCACAAACACCACATTGGCAACAAATTAAAAGCAATCATGCCAGGTTTCCAAATTAGTCTCCGTCCACATCTCTGCTGTCTTCATTATTTTTAATTCTTAATCAAATGTCAGGCAGGAAACGGACACGCATCATCCACTCGGTAAGGGATTCGGGAGAACTTTCTTAAAAGTGAAGCTGAATACTTACAGTATAAAAGTAGGACAATAGAGACATCCCCATTTGGTCAACAATGTAAAGAAATCTGCTAGAATCCCAAACATGCTGTACTAAGGAGGCGCGACGGGCATGTTCTGTTTTAAAAGGAAATTTTTTCAAAACACAAACAGGCGGGTAGCAGACTTAGCCTAAATGCAGAGTAAAAGGCTGGGAAAATGCACATGGAAAAAGTACACTTTTCCAGAGCATTAGAGAAAGACTCAGTTTGGGGGATTAGCTGAGACCTAAACATAATTATGCTGGCGTCTGTTTATAAATATATTTTTCTTTTTGTTCCCCAACAAAAATTTTAAGGCACAAAAAAGAAAATCCTTGAGGTACTCATATGTAGGGAAAACATACAGCTAAATTTATTGAGCTTTTACTACATTATAAGTGTTTTCCACATGGTATGACATTTGGTCTGTGCAATACATCTGGGAGGAAGATAATAAATGAGGAAACTTGGACACAGAGATGTCAAATAGCTCACCTAGGATGACGCCAGGTTAATGGGAGGCAACTAGAATTCTGAGTCCACAGCCTGTACTTTTCAACAGAAAGGTAAATTTGAACTTTGTATTCTCCAGAGTTTAAGAATCCCCTAGCTGGGCATGGTGATGTCCATTGGTAATCCCATCACACTGGGAGACTGAGGCAGGAAGACTTCAAGTTCAGGCCTGGTGTGGGCAACTCATTAACTTTAAAACAGGGGGAGGGGCTGGGGTGTAGCTCAGTGCAAAGGGCCTGGGTTCAATCTCTGGGATGGGAGGTGGAATATCTATTTGTAGGATATATATACAGATATATTTATATATCTCTATTCATATTTATTATATATTACAAATATATAATAAATTCAAATGCACACATATGTATGTCTTAGTGGAAAACTATTTCCTAAGAGAAAAAAATAATACTGTTTGATGCACAGTAAACCTGTGATTTGTACTAGGTACAATCACTGGTACAGTAATTATAATACCACCATGATTCTTAGAAGAGACGTGATTTCCATTCCCATGCATTTCTAACATGCCTTGACATGCATGTTTCAAGTTAAAGGATCTTTCAAGGAAGAAGGACAGAGGGCTACAAAGAATTATGAGCAAACCTCGCTAAAAGCGAAGCAGCCCATTGTTCTACCACCCAGCTCCCCACCTACCTGCACATATGGTGGAGCCTGGAAGCCCGATGCCGAGCACCATATGTACCAAATAATCACAGGGGTAGGTTAAAAAGACAGCTTTCCCCCTAATTTGACCAATTTAGCATTTGGGAAGTCGTCTGTCTGCTCCTATCTTGGGAATTTTGAAACAATGGATTGAAAGAGAAATTGAGGGAGGCAGACAATATTTTGGAATCAACCTAATAAACGTGAACAGCTGCGATAGAGACCAGGGGCGCAGCAACTGAGGGGCCTTTCCTCACAGACAGACCTACGTGTTGGGGAAGAGCTGTCCTCTGCCGGCAGCTGTGCACCTGCGCAGCCTCATTGACGGGCAGGAAGATTTCTGCTCGCCCTGGTGTGCTGTGGTGCTTCCCCCAGCCTGCTGGCTCAACCCCCTGGACAACATAACTGCATACTGGGTGTCCCACTGGGGGCCCCTCACACATCTTCGACTCATTGTGTCCAAAACACCAGTGCTTCCTCCTGGATTCTTCATCTCAGCTGCTGATTCAGTGTGACTCCCCAGTCCCTCAGCCCCTCAAGCTTGGAAAACTGGTGAAATCTTATACCACCGTGCACCTCACTTGAAGTCAAGGAAGTCAACTGGTAGTTGATTAATTTTACCTCCAAAAATGCCCTTCATCGGTCCACTTTCCTCCATCTGTCTGCCACTGCCCAAGGTTGGGGTCTGATTCAGCCTGCTCGGTTTGTCCTAACAAAGAACATTCTAGTCTCCAGCAGGGGCAGTGTTCATGGCCCTCTGGAGAGTAGGACCTCGGTCCTAGTTCCTGATGCAGGGAAAGAGCCTAGGTGCATGGTGCAGCCTGAGAAGACCTCCGCAAAACCCCATTCTGGAAGCCCTCCCCTACCTCAGGGTGCCATCGGAAACTCAGGATAATTGTGGACCATTACAACAGTGTTAAGAGGTGGGGCCTTAAAGAGGTGTTTGGGTCAAAGGGCTCTAATCTGAACCATTTACTGAGTCCATGGCATTCTGTTGTAGCCACAGGAGACAGTCTGAGACACTCACTCTTAGCACAAGCAAGGAGCCCAACCCCTGTTGGGCTATCTCAGTGGGGATCCCACCAAGTGATAGAAAAGTCAAGTTGGGAAATTTGGACGAGGGTTAACTTGTAGGAGAACGTGTTTCCAGAGAAACAACAAAGTACGGGGGAGCCACAGGACACAGTGCAGGAGCCAGGAACTGGCAGCACCAGAACTGTCCCCATCCTTTGGCCTAAAAGAACATGGGGAGGCAGAAGTTACCAGAAACTTCTGAAGAGAGAATCACGCATAACAGGCTGCCTTAGCGGGCTGCCCTTGTGGTCTCCAACTGCAGGATATAGCTAAGCCCCAGGAAGTCACAGACAGGAAGTCAAGGGGATAAATGTCTGTCTGCTCTCCCACCAGGTGGCCTGGGCTCAAGTGGAGGATGCCAGGAGCCAAGAGCAGGGAGGAGACTGCAAAGGGAACTCAAAGAAGCCACCATCACCACCTCTGCAGTGCTGGCCCATTTCCAGCCAGTGGCTGTGCCTTTATTTGGGAGACTTCTCGGCTGTAATAACAAATCACTACAACCTTGGTGGCTTAACACAACAGATGTTCATTCCCACATGGTTCTGCAGGCCAGAAGTCCGAGAGCGAGCTATCAATTGGGCTGTGCTCCCTCCACGGCCCAGGGGGAGAATGCTCACCTGCTCTTCCAGGCGCTGGTGACCAAGGCATCCCTTGGCTGGCTGCTGTGTTGCTCTGGCTTCTGCCTCCCTCTTTGCAGGGCCTTCTCTGCCTGCATCTTCTCCTCTTCTGTCTATCTTAAGTCTCCTCAGCTTTGTTCCTATGTGATCATTTGTCACTGGGTTAAAGGAGGCACGGACAACCCAAGATGAACTCAAGATCCTTAGCTTAACATAGCCGAGAAGATCCTTTTCCCCAGTAAGGACATACTTACCACTTCTGGAGATTTGCACATATGTTTGGGGAGCCTGCTATTTAACCCAAGACCAATCTAAATCCTAGGAAAATAGTCCTGGAGGGAAACCCCACACCATCAGGAGATCTGGGGCTCCCATTCATGCCCAGACCCCAGGAAGGCTCTGCACCACCCACCTCAGGGAGGTTCAAGTGGCGGGCCTTGTAGGACCCACAGTGGCTTTATGGGTCATGTTGGTACAGTGGGCATAGCAAGCCGTCTGTCCACGCCTGCCCCAAGCACAGCTCCCTGTAGATGTGCATGTGTTGTAGGGACAGCACTTTCCATTGACCTGTCTTGAGCAGCTTTCACGCCCTCTAAGTCCACTGCTTTTCTTATCAAAACTCAAGTGGGCCAAAACTCCTACCTGCACAAGCTTTCCCTGAAATTTGGGCCTCAGCTGCCACCCCTGAGCCCAAAATCCTGATACCTATGCTGGAGGTGATGAGGATGGCCACTCGGGTGGCCACAGCTGCCCTGGAATTGGTCATGGCAGCCAAAGGTATCATTTTTGAGTCAAGCATCAATAGTAGTAGAAAAACTTTTAGTGCTTGGCATTTAATACAGTGACTCCTAGGTACAATAGTGATTACTGGTTCCCCCAATGTCCACGCTTGTCTACTTTGTTTAGTATTTATTCTGTGAGCTTCACACCTTATTTGATTCTGCCCTGGGTTATAGGCAGGATACAAGTTCAGCTGATTTAACAAAGATGGCTGCAGCCAAGAGGTACCCCTTTAGATATCCCCAAATGCCCCTCTCTACATTTGAGAGCCCCTACCCTTGAGTTAGGATCTCCCTTACCTGCTTCAGAAAACCCAACACAACTGTGGCTTTAATAAAACAAGGGGTCTTTTGTCTCTTATCTAGGGAACTAGAGGATTGGTTCCTGGCAGGCCGGGAACCCCATGGTGTCATGGATCCTTTTTTTCATCCTCTTTTATATATGGCCCCATGGCCACTTAGTAATCCACAGTGGCCCTTCCAGCCTTGCCTATCATGTTGGGATTCCAGCCAACCAGAAGTCAAGAATGGAATGAGAAGGACTTGCTCCCCCTGCAAGTTGTTCAGACCACTTCAGTGAATATCCTATGGACCAGAATTGGCCGCAGAGCAGGCTGGGAAATGTAGTCTTTGGCCTGGGAGCCATATGCTCAAGAAAAAGTTCTATTCTCATACAGAAAGTGGAACAGATTTAGAGGAAACATCAGCAGTACTTGCTACACTAGCATTCGACGACATGGGGAGCAGTAGCTTAACCGCATACGCCCTCCTCTAACCACCTTGCAGGGCTGTATAGAGAACTAAGAGAAATTATACTATTATGATGGCAATTGTTCTCCACAGGGCAGAGATGCTGCTTTGTGAGGGTCTTTCTATTTCCTTCCATGTGGGACCCTTGGTAGCTACAATAGTTCATGGCACAAGAAAGAAGTTCAATAAATACCTGTTAAATTGTTTGCTTACAATGTAAGTAATCGTCAGCAGGTGCAATGCCTTCACACACAGGGGTGGCTCTGTCCAACCACTCGGGAAAGTCATTAATAAACCTTTGAAATGCTGGAGACAGTACCAGATGTTGAAATGTATTGTAATCTGTGCCCTGATGTTTTGAAGGGGGAAACGACATTTTAGTATTCTGTCTTATCAAGCCGCAGTGGTCAGCCCCATCGCCTATTCTGACATCCAAATTAGAGATGATATTTTTTCTGGACCAAGAAAGTAGAAGGTAAAAGTTGAGCATATAAATTAGCTGCCAGCTAAGCAGCCTCTCTTGCACATTGCAACATAAATTGGGACAACACTTAAGTGACAATTTGCAATGTCTATCAAAATTGCTAATGTATAGGCTGTGACCCAGTAATACTAACCCCAGGGATTTATTATTATGATAGACAACACATGTGCAAATGACAATTTACAGCATGTTTCACTGCAGCATTGTTTGCAATAGTAAAAAGCTGGAAACAATATAAATAGCTCTTGACAGGGCACTAGCTAAACAAATTATGGGGTGTCCATATGACAGAAGGGTAGACTTTTCTTTTTAAAGAAGATTTTAAAATACTACTAAGAGGCAATCTCTCAGAGATTAAGTAGGAAAAAGCAGGATGGAGAACAGTGTATATAGTATATTACTGTTAGTTTAAAAATGGGAATATAGTTTATCTACTTATATTTGCTGGTATTTGCTGATAATCCTTACGGAAACATAGAAAAGAGATGTCACCTGAACTAATGGCAGACCAGGATAGAGAAGCAAATTTTTCATTATATTTCTGTGAATTTTGCACTGTGTGAGTATATTATTTATTCAAAGATAAAATGACTAATTAGCTTCATTTAGTGGTCTTATATGCACTCTTTGAAGTATGTGTAACTAGATCTCTATGACTGATTGTCCTACAAACAGGACAGAAGAAATGGTATTATTTTTGCAATTATAATAGGAAAAAAAATGGACTCACCTGTAAGTTTCAGGGAGCTGCTGAAAGTGCCATTCTGGGAATGGCCTTGAGAAGTTTATTCAATGTTCTTGGATCTCTCATGTCCAGGCACTGAGTGTCCTAGCCTCTCTGTGACAGAGGGAAGCAGGAAAAATACCATCAGAGGCTGAGTGGCTTTTGTAAAGGGGTAAGGGGTACCTCTCCTCATTTTGACTGGGTGGAAGATTTCCCTGGACTTCTGACCACTCTGGTAAGGATGTGTCAGGAGCAGATAGGTTTTCCGTGTTCCAGGTGTGCTGGTGTGTGTGTGTGTGTGTGTGTGTGCGTGTGTGTTGAAAGTATTCTGTGCTCAGTGAAAACAGCAAGGTACAGAACAGTATAGAGAGCATGGCGATTGCTTCTGTGAAAAAGAAAAGAAAGATTTCTAAACATATAGTTTGTAAATGCAGAGAATATTTCTAAATACATAAGAAACTATAGCCTTAGCTGCTTGTGGAGACCTGGGAGAAGGTCAGATCATTTGTACCAGGAAAAACCACTTTTGCCCAAATACCCTTTATATTATCTGAGCTTTCTTTTAAGCACATATGACACAGTATTCTAAAGAAGAGAGAATCCCACTATATATGATGTCTCTCTCTCCTGCCCTCGTTTACTGTCTCTCTTCCCATCTTCTGTTTCTTTTTTTGTTTTGTTCTGTTTTGTTTTTCTTCCGGTACCAGGAATCAAACTCACGACCTTGCACTTGCTAGGCAGGCGTTTTGCCACTGAGCTAAATCCCCAACCCCCATCTTCTTTTTCTTAGTGTGAATCGTATACACTGCCTGCACAGAATGATTTGGTCTCTTTGCTTAGACCAGTGCATGAGACTCAACCCAGAAGCAGATGATCTTTTTTGTTGTTGGAAATGGGGAAAGATAAAGGAAAACTGAACGTCTGAAGTTCTCAGGGCTTTCCAAACTCCCAGAACTCAAGTTCTGCCCTGGTCACAGTCCCAGCCAAGGACTGCTTTGCTCATGCCCTAAACATTCATTCTCCCTAGAGTCAACTTGAAGGTCAGTGGGCTCAGCTTTCTCTGCACATCCAACCCTCCTCCGCTCAAAGTGTGGACCAGACCTTCCGGGAAAGACACCACAAAGGAGAACTGGCCTGGTCTTGGACACGGCCCCACGGGGGCCAGAGGGCAGCTGCCTTCCGTGCCTTGCAGGGTCCTCCCAACACAAGCACCACAGTGGAAAGAGGTTCGCGAGGGTGCCAGTCCTGACTAACCCATTTTGAAGGAGAGGAGGACCCGCAGGGGGTGGAATGGTGCATCCTATACTGTTGAAAGGGGCCAAGTGGATCTGCACCCACATGTAAAAAGGGCCAAGAGATGCTGGGAAGACAAAAAGAAGACAACAGAGAAGAAAAGAGCAGTTCACAAAGCGTGCATACAGAGCTGGAAGGAGGGTCACCAAAACATTGGCCTATCCGGTTTCCGGTGGCTGTTTAGGACAGGGGAGGGTGTTGGAATGGTAATGGTGACATTTGTTTTCTCTATATTTCAAAAGTTTGTTTTTTACATAGGCATGCATCTTTTTTAAAAATATCATCTTGGGTTTCATTTAACAGGTAGTCAAGGGATGGGGTTGTGGTTTATTCAGCCGGTTTGGAAGGATGCACAACCCCAAGGAACTATCCTCAAGAGGCCCAGAACTGGTGGTGGAGGAGGGAGGCACACCCCCAAGGGTGGACCCCACAAACCTAGAGAAGGGCTTCTGGGCCCCACTGTGCCTGCGGATGACGTAGGCTCTTTCACGGCGTCTGGGCTGACCTGAGACTTCCTACTTTCTGGCTCTTAGTGGCTGGGCAAAGAACATATTGATAACAGGGAAAATAAAAATACGATTCAGGCAAAGGTGTTGGTGGAGAATGAGAATAAAGAAGGGAGGGGAAGAGACTGACACAGCGAGAGCAAGACAGCAGGAGAGGGAGAAAGGAAGGAGGACGGAGGTGCAGCAGAAGCGCCCAGGCCCTCTCCAAATTCACAACTGGGCACCGCTTGGGCCACTTGCGCTGGCTCTGCTGGGCGGCCGCCGGAGGCTCACGGCTGACAGCCTGGTCACGGTGACAGTGGCGTCCCAGCTTCCCAGCGCGCAGTCGGGGCTCAGGCTGGGAGATGTGTTTCGGAGTCGAGTTGCGGCTTGTGGATTCCCCGCCGCCTGCGCGTTGAGGCCGAGCTGGGCGAGGGCGCCGAGCACCGGACAGCTGTGCCCGGGTGCCAAGCTGCGCCCTCGTCTCGCCCGCCTCGCGCTCCTCTTCCTTCGTGCGGCGGCCTGGAGCGTCCGAAGCTGGAGTGCAGCAGCCTGAGCTTGTCTCCGGCCCCTTTCCCGGTCCTGGTTCGGCAGCACAGCCGCTCCCTGGGGTCCCTCCTGGGGAAACCGGATAGGAGCCAGCGGGCTGTCCAGCAGGGGACCAAGCGTCGCACGTTATTGAACAGCCTTTTGATTCAGGGTGGCAGGAGGTGCTGACACCCTGCCCCCACAAGGCCAGAATGAGCACCCTTGGGCCTCACTGGGCATTTCTGAAGCTGGATTAACAGGGAAGGGGCATCATACCTTTAATCTATTGTCATCGGTGCCTTTTGTGATATGTGAATACTGGCTAAAAATTCTGTAGGTAACCAACCATCTGACTGCCAGCCCTCGCTTCGATTTACAAAGCCATTCTAGGGCTGGTCCCTGCCCTGGGGCAGGGATGCAGAGCAACTGCGGGCACAGCTGGGTGTGGAGAACTCTGACACAGGTGAGGGAACCACTGGGTGTCTGGTGGGTCAGGGACAGAAGGGGGCTTCCCAGTGCCTAGTATGCGCAGGGGAGGGGGTGAGGGGACAAGAGGGACCCTCCAGCTAAGAGCAGGGCCCCTGGGTGCCCTAGGTCCTGAGAAACGGTGAGTACAGGAGGTGAGATTTTTAAGGTTGCCAGGAAGGCTCAGACTTGAACCTGGAGGCCATGGGGACATCGTTTGTCCTCTCCCTCCTTGACGTGGAACTCAGGCTGTCCATTTGGTGGGCAGAGGAGCACACACCCTACTACCCAGAGGTGAGAGGGTCTACGTCCTCCATGCAAGTTACCTTCTCCTATGGAAGGTTCCCCCACTGCCAAGTGACACACATGCACCCAGCCTCAAGCTGCCACCAGATCCATAGCCACTCTGATCTGTCCACTGGAGTAACGGGAGGGGCTGCTAGGGAAACACAGCATCAGTCACAGCATCCAGTAGACACAGTGTCTCCTGGGGGCATGGTGAGGGTAGGCAGGAGAATGGAGGTGTAGGACAAAGCCACGGATGCCCCAGGAACTTGGGATCCAGTGGGCAGCAGAGGGAAGTGCACACATCAGTGCCTCCCTCTGAATGCCGAAGAGGCTGCTGCAAAATTAGGTGAGATCACAGTTTTTAAACAGAGTCAATAAAATTCCCATCTCATACTTCAGTCCTATCCTAATGTGTTCCTTGGGGAGAGGGGATAACTTTCAAGGCTCTGTCTTTGGGGCATGGCTGTCTTCTGTTTAAAGGGAGAGGGGAGTGGTCTCTAGGAAAGGGTTGGAGGGTGTTAGTTTGGCCTTTGCTGGGTTACTTTTTTGAGCAGCACTTCTGTCTCCAAGCTCTGGAAATTCCCCAGGAATTCTCTCCTAGCCCAGCCTGGGTGGTAGCAAATCTAAACTGGGCAGGGCAGGGGCCCTGGGGTCCAAGGCCTCAAGACTGGGCAAACAGTGACAGCAGAAGAAAGTATAAGGGGCAGGGAGCAGGTGTGAGCTGGCCCTTTCCACACCTTCCAGATCTTGACCCTGACACACTTAGAGCTCAGGCAGCTTCTAGAGACCTACTTTATGAGTGAGAAGTAAGGCCTGAGGGAAGGACTGCAAACCTCTAAATCTGAGAAGACCACATTCCTCAGCTGCCTCCTAGCAGGGTGATCTCCCTAAAGCCTCCCCTTGGGCTCTCCCACCTCAGGTAAAGGACCACGTCCCTCTCTGCATCAGGTTCTGACCCAGCAGAGTAACCCATCCCTCTGGGCCGGTGGGGCCAGTGCGCAGTAAAATCAAATGAAAGTCTATCAAGACTTGCTAAATGCCTGGCAGTGCTCAGGTCACTGTTAAGTGGTGACAGCTGTCCTTAAATAGCAGTCACCAGCCCATCTTCCTAAAAGCTCCCCTACACCCCGTAATCTGTATTACAGACTTGACGATTTATTGTGCGGACCGACTAAACACACAAGGTACACTGCTCACATACACACCTATTCGACAAGTCCTGCTTCACGCCAGCCGAAGCACATTTGCATGCGTGTGCTCTTTCAGAAGTATTTACCAAGCACTTGCCTCGCGCTGGGACCCGTCTGAGCGCGCAGCTTCCGACGTCCGCGCGACCTGGGCCGCCTGGGAGTTGAGTTTGCCAGGAAGACATGCCGTTTGTCCGAGAGTTATGACTCCCAAAAAGTCCCATGGCGCACATTTGGATGCCAAAAACTGCCTCTGCGTCCCTCCTGGTTTCTGGAAGAGGGATGATAATTAAAATGTTTTTCTTTTCCCTTTCTTTTCCTTCTTCCCAGGGCCTCACCTCCCACCACCACCCCTGTCGGGTTCTGCGCAAAAACACCGCTCTCCTTGGCAGCCAGGCGGAGACGCAGCCTGAAAGCGAGCAGGAACTCCAGGCAGGGTCGGGGAGGACCAGAAAAGCCCGAGAGGGACCGGGGAAGCGGTGGGAGGTCTGCGCCCCAGAGCCCAGCGCGAGCCCGCCCGGCCGGTTTGGCACAGGTTCTCCCCGGGCCGCCAGGCGGCCGACCGAGCAAAGGCCGGCCCGACACGCACCCGGCCTTTTGTGCAAGGGAAACACAAAGGCGAGAGAGAAGCACGTCTTCCGTTTTGACGGCGAAGGCCAACAGCTCCAGGATGCCAGGGCCAGCCAGCAACTCCCGGAGCCGGCGCGATTACTATGGGCAAGCTCGCACTCCTTTCCTCGGGAGGGGACGGCGCTCGGGCCGCGCGCTACTGGGAATGGCGTGGCCGCAGGGGACGCGGCTGGGACGCGCACGCCGGGCACTGGCGCGGGATCCGGACTAGTGCCTGGGACGCCTGCACCGTGCACAGGACAACCGCAGGGCGCCCCTTGTCCTATCATCGGGGGTTGGGGGTGACACGAGATGTGTCCAGGGACGGATTTTCCCTGAGCTATAAGAGCATACGGGGTCCACACCTTTTCCATCGCCCTAGCAGCTCCAGGGAGAAAGGAGGAGAAACCTTCCGGAGGTAGGCGGGGAGGACAAGACCCCGCTACACGCCGCGCCACCCCCTCCCCGCCCGAATTGCCACCGCAGTCTCAACTCTGTGGCGCAGGGCTGGGGCCCAGGGAATTCTTAGGGGTCCCTGGGATGGGACGCGAGGAACAAGCCACCTGTTCTCCTGCTCAGGACTCTGTTCCAGGCAAGCCCCAACTTTCAGCCCGCCACCAACTCCAGCGTATGAAGAGTATCAGACTGGGCTCTCTCGCAGAGCGCCAGACACTCTACAGACTGACTCAGGACAGATACAAGTGGGAAGGAACCGGGACTCGAGGACACGTGCCCTTTAGGACCGACCGGCGACCGAGGCGCGAGCGCGGGTGGCCGGCGTTTATGAGCTACACTCGCGCGGCGACTCCACGCCCCAGCCGGCACCCGCGCGCGGCTCCACGCACTCCCTCCCGCGGCGACGGGGACCCCCGAGTGATGATCCCCAAGCCCCGAGCGCTTCCTCACCCCCATCTCCGCTCCCCCGCCCCAAGCGTCCCGCTTAGTCCCTGTGTGTGACAGATTCTGCGGACTGAACGGTTACGGGTCACCCTTGCAGCCGTTAGACGGCATATCACCACGCTTCAGTTCTTCGTGGTTTAAATACATATTTAACGGATGGCTGCAGAGCCAGCTGGGAAACACACGGGTTGCAAAATAATGCTCCAGGAGGCACGAGGCTGGGGCAAAGGCTAAAATACCCGCTGGGCTTTCTAGGGAAGGAGTGAGGGAGAAAGAGATTTAGCAAAGAACTAGGGGCAATGAACTGGGTTTCCCTATTTGTTGGTTTTGTAACTTTGCTACATAAAGACCAGTTACTATGTTTTGTTTTGGTTTAGTTTTTTTTCTTGCTTGTTTGTAAATCTATGTAAGTACACGAAAAGTGCCAAAACAACTGAAGTAAGCAGAGGACTGGGGCCGTGTGTGTGTGTGTGTGTGTGTGTGTGTGTGTGTGTGTGTGGTGAAGAGCTTGCCTCTGAGATTTGCAGAAATTGCAGAAACAAACATCTGCATAGGAAACATATGGACGTCAAAAATGCAGCTCAGACGAAAGGGTAGGGGTTAGGGAGACTGGACTGGGAGCTGCTTCTACCTACGTGGTCCCAACACCGTATTCCAAGCAGGGTTCCACTGTAGGTTTGCTGCAGGCACAATTTTTCCAACTGTAAAATGGGTGAATACTTCCTTGGGCTATAATGGGCCCTTCTCCACATTAGATTTAATACTTCATGATCAAAGGCTTGTCAGCCTGACAGGCTGCAAGCAGTACATTGTATCCACACGCTGCAGGGAAGGATTCAGTCTCACTCTTTGGGCCAAGGTGCCAGCAGCCTTTGCTCAGGCCTGAGACGTCTCTTTTTGCAAACGTCGGTTGCCCGACTCCCTTGGCTTCAAGACTGTCACAAAGATGGTGCCAGTATCGGGCTGGAGAAACACAAGGTGGGAATGTTTAACTCCGGCAATGCCCTAGCGCTCTTGTTAGTTGCACTTACTGTATGGAAATAATTCGTCCTTACGCCTGCACCTTCCTCAACTTTATGAAAAGTTGTGATTTCTTTCAACACACGGTGCTCATGGCCGGTCCGCTCCTTCTCTGCCTGCCCTCTGCCCGCAGGGCCATGCCCCCACCTGGGGGCGCCACAGCCTGTCCGCGGAGCTTCGGCGACTTCGTCCACGCGAGCTGAGAACGCCAAGAAAGTGGGAGCTGTGTGCATGATTATCCGTTACATTTGTGGCCCTAAATGCCCACGTGTGAATGAAACCCACGACAAGGAGACAAGGGGCGGGAAACCAGAGAGAGAGAGAGGGAAAGCTGGGGAGGAGACCACAGCCTGAGCCCCTAGGTCGCCAGGGTTATCTGTGACATCCAAAAGATCCAGCTGCGTCGGGCATCAGATTAGTTGGCGGAATCCCTGGTCCACCGCGTCCCCCAGCCTGACTATGCTGTGACCATATTTTTCAGAAATCTGAGCCTGGCCGCTCGGCCCCTCGGTCCCTGAGCGCTCGGTCCTCTCTGGGTCCGCCGCGAGCGCACCCTGCTCCGCCCCTCGCCTCTCACCTCCTGGGTTCGGTCCTCCCTCAAGAATCTCTCGAAGGCGGGCGCCCATTGGTTGCGCACCGGAGGAGGCGTGTGCCGGCCGGGTTTCATTGAGCGGACTCGGCCCGGATGACATCAGCTTCCAGCCCCTCCGGCGAGCCCAGCTCATTGGCGCGGCCGCCCCTCCAGCACAAGCACATTGTTCCCCGCCCCCGCCCCGCCACCGCCGACGGCGTAGCCGCCTACACCCGCCTATAAAAACCCTCGGAGCTCGGAAAGGTGCGGATGCTTATCATAGACCCACAGCACGGCAGCGCCGGGCGCCAGGATCTCCACTCAGGCTTTGCTACCCAGCAAGTTCCTAAAATTGAATTCGCAGTAAGTGTCCCCGCCCCCGCCCCCAGCAGCCTCAGCCTAGATAGCAGGGACAGACACCCTCACTTCGGCTGCGACCCGGGATGCTCCCCTAGAAGGGTGCCCGGATCCGCCGCCCCTGCCGGTCCGTAATCTGGACCGGTTTCACGTCGCTGACGCTTCTCATTCCCACCGCAGCACCCTCTTCGCCCAAAGCTAGAAGTCAGGGCGACAACAGCTCCTTCGGCCGAAGTCCCGGCCAGGGACGAGGGCCTGCGGCTCCAGATGCAGCACCTGGAGTCCGGGCTCCCCGCGCGCGAGGGCACTGGGTGCGCTTGTTTATCGCCCGCCGTCTCGATGGAGATAACGTGGATGCGTTTGAGCAACCAAAGAAACAGTCTTCAGTTTAGATGTCCACACTCCCCAAAGAAAAGCTCCTCCTTGCTGTTCATGTATTTCACCCTGGCATTCTTAAGTGAAGGAAAAAAAACCTCTAGGATTCGCCTCTCAGACCGTCACTCGGTTTTTTCTGATACAACCTGTGATTAAGAGCAGAGGGTGGGTGGCAGGAAAGGAAAGAAGTCATAGGACGACCTGAGTTCTGCTGGAAGAAGGGACAGAGCACGGAGGAGTGCGCAGAGTGCCGGCCACCTGCCTGGACCTGCGCGGAGGTGCAGTAGGGAGCAGTTTTTCTGTCTCACTTAAAATCTCTCAATCTCTCTGTCTCTGTGTCTGTCTCTGTCTGTCTGTCTTGCCTGTCTCTCTTTCTCTGCCTCCCTCCCTCCACGCCCCCTCTCTCCTGGAAGCTCTGAGGGCCCTGGGAGCAAAGACCCTGCCACCAAAGCTGCGACTGCTCCCCGGGGCCATGGACTCGGACGCCAGCCTGGTGTCCAGTCGCCCGTCGTCGCCAGAGCCCGATGACCTTTTTCTGCCCGCCCGAAGTAAGGGCAGTAGCGGCAGCGGCTTCACTGGGGGCACCGTGTCTTCGTCCACGCCGAGCGACTGCCCGCCAGAGCTGGGCGCCGAGCTGCGCGGAGCCATGGGCGCGGCGGGCCCGCATCCTGGGGACAAGCTGAGTGGCGGTGGCTTTAAGTCATCCTCATCCAGCACTTCATCGTCCACATCGGCGGCGGCCGCGTCGTCCACCAAGAAGGACAAGAAGCAGATGACCGAGCCAGAGCTGCAGCAGCTGCGCCTCAAGATCAACAGCCGCGAGCGCAAGCGCATGCACGACCTCAACATCGCCATGGACGGCCTGCGCGAGGTCATGCCCTACGCGCACGGCCCGTCGGTGCGCAAGCTCTCCAAGATCGCCACGCTGCTCCTGGCGCGCAACTACATCCTCATGCTCACCAACTCGCTGGAGGAGATGAAGCGACTGGTGAGCGAGATCTACGGCGGCCACCACGCCGGCTTCCACCCCTCGGCCTGCGGAGGCCTGGCGCACTCGGCGCCGCTGCCCGCAGCCACCGCGCACCCCGCTGCAGCCGCTCACGCCG